ATACAACTCTTAAATGGCTGTATTCAATCAAGTTTAATTCATTTTTTTCTGAATGCTGAAAAGTAAATAACTATTATCTGATTCAACTCCCTGGTAAAAATCATGTAAACTTTCAGGTTTGATTTCTATTAATATAAATATCTATGCTTCTTACAAAATTATCGATCTACAGATTAGATTATAAACAAATGTCACTTTCAGGATAGACTTAAAGGTCATGAACGTCAGCCAGGTAGTTTGGATCTATTCCTCCTGGACTGAGAAACCACTAAAATGATAGCATTTCTAAATACGTGTCTCTTAATCTGATCTTGTTATTACTCTCTCCCTGCTTGAATAAACATCCCTACAGTTTTAATGATGACCTATATAAAAGTGGCTTCCAAATCTGTATTTTAATCAGTAACATCTTTGGAGCTGCAGATCTGAATATAAAATTGCCTGATTATACAGTTGTCCTATTATAACAAACAAACTCCATTTACTCTTTGACCACCCCCAATCCAAAGCCTACTTCTCTATTTGCATGTGTCCCTATTAGCCTCTATTTGCATGAATCAGTACACCACAATCCACCAGCTCTCCAGAATTAAAACAAAATCATCTTTGGCCTCTCATCTTTTCTTTCCCCTTCCACCAGTCTAAGTCATTGTCAAGTTTAAAAGTTTTGCTAAATCAAAACTTTTCTTTCCATTCACATCACTTCAGTCTCATAAGAGCTCTTTCCAGGATCAAGGTCAATCTAGAAATGCTCCCATCAAATAGTATTTCAGCTCCTCCCTCTCCCCTCTAGCTCACCTTCTACAGGGCTTTTGGAGTTATTTCTCCAGCAGCTCTTATCATGTCACAAGCTTTTCAATGGCTACCTACCAGCTACAGAATAAAGTGCAAACTTCAAACTTAGAGTATTCAAGGCGTTTTAGTATCTGACCCTGTCTATCCCCTCACTAGCTTTCTCTAGTTCTAATGTCCGTGGTATTTCCTACCCCTTCCAAGATCGGACAAAGGATGCTCTTAAACCATACTTTCTGAAATTGTATTTATCATTCAAGGTGCTGATCAAATGTGTTCAGCTCCTTATCTCCCTAAATTCTCTCGGCTACAATTAAACACAAGGCACTCTCTTCCTTTTATAACGTAGCTCTAATGGTCTGAAAGTTATTTCTTATAAAAAAGATAAACATGTCCCCTCTGACCTGAGTTCTAATTTAAATGTCTGCACAGATGAGCCTAATCTTTTCCTGTACAACAATATTCCAAATATGTGAAGCTACTCCTAAATCTTCTCTTCACAGGATAAATCTCCTCAAGACTCACAGCTAATAGTCATAGATATGATTTCTAGAAATTTTCATCATTTTCACTACCTCTGTCTGGACACTCTGGATCTCCTGAAGTGTGATATCCAGAGCCAAACACAATACTTCAAATATTGTTTTTTGCAAATTATGCATGATATTCATCTTCCTCCCCAAATTTGGACATTCACAATGTCTACTAGCAAATTAACAACTCAAAAATAGTCTTTCAGTAATAAACTTGTCATTTTTAACCGGTTGCGGATTTTTAATAAAGGTGCAAAAGATAAAGGTGAAAATAATAAAACAAGGTTCAAAGAGGTTCTAGTCAGAATCGAGTATACAAGAATTTACTTTAGGAAGAAACTCCTTTTGAAACATGAGATAAATGAAACTAGATGGATAAAAAGGCAGAGATACTATAAATAAAAAGGGCGCAACATCAAAGGAAATTTCTACACAAAGTTTATTTGGGGACTCTTTTGCTAAGTACTCCATCATAAAGCAAGCAAACTTTCAATAAAAATATGTTAATTAACATCTTTTAATTAAAAAATGCCAACTAATAATGCTATATTCACAATCTTCTTATCCTGAAATGCCAAAATGCGTTTTAAAAAGTTAAAATTTCAACAATAAATTCTAAACTTAAATTCAACTGACTGGACAATACTCAAGAGATCTATTTTAAATTGCATAACTATCTTCGCTCTCATTAAATAATATCCTATGTGGAAAATACAGTAGTTCTTTAATGACTGGCACCACACTAATTAACTGAACTAAAAGAAAAAAGTCATTTCCTCTGAAGAGTTCTTAAATACTCTTCAGTGATCATGTTAAATGCTCAACAATTTATTCAATTCAACGAAAACTCAAGGAGACCTCTAAAGTGCTGTCTTTTATACAAAGGAAATAAGAAAGTTCAATGATTCATTTTCTGAAAACTTGCTTTAAAACAAACTAAGGATCTTTCCCCTTGATTTACAGTGGAAGGCTTAGGAAATGTGTAATGATATTGGGAGAATGTAATGTGTATCTGTGCCACAGGCCTAAAATATCTAAGAACTGAATAACACAGATATATCATATAGCAGCATACAATGATTCTCCTACATCATCAATAAAATCCTAATTTTCTCACAACCAAGAGTACATGAATTTGAAATATCAAGCTGATATAAGTATAAATTTATAAGCACTTTGGAAAACAATCTGGTGTTATAAGATGGTTAAAGACCAACATATCCCTTGACTCACTAATTATGTTCTTATAATACATGATTTTTTACATTTTAATCTTTCTTCAATGATACTATATTTTCACTGAAATGATACAATGAAGTTGATACAAAATTATAATAAAACCTTGGTTTGCAAGCATAATTCATTACAGAAACATGCTTGTAACGCAAAGCACTTGCATACCAAAGCGAATTTCAAGAACCACTGGCGTGGTGAAAATGTGACATTCAGCATCATGTACTACTCATGTTGCAAGGCATCACTCATTTATCATGTTAAAATTTATTAGAAATTTTGCTTGTCTTGCAGAACACTTGCAGAACAAGTTAGTCCCAATCCAAGGTTTTACTGTATTTTTAATGGTCGCAAGATTTGAACAGATATTTCACTAAAGATCTGTGGATGCCAAATAAGCACATAAAAAGATTCTCAACATTATCAGTCATTAGGAAGATGAAAATCAAAACCACAAAGAGACACCACTATGCAACTAATAGAATGGATAAAATAAAAATAAGTAATAACAACAACAAAAACCTGACAATACCAGGTGCTACTGAGGATGTGTCACTAGAATTTTCTTAACATAGCTGGCAGGAATGTAAAATAGTATAGGCAATTTGGAAAAGTGAGATAGTTTCTTATAAAGGTATATACACATGCACACAACTCAGCAATCTCACGCCTACGTATTTACACAAGAGAAATGGAAAATGATTCACATAAAATCCTGTATGTGAATGTTTATAGAAGCTTTCTTCACAATCACCAAAAACTAGAAACAACCCAAGTCCTTTGAGTAGTGAATGGATAAACTGTGGTACACCATCAACGAAATACTACTTAGCAATTAAAAGGAACAACTACAGACACATGGATGAATCTTAACTGTATTATACTATGTGAAATAAGCTAGACTTGAAAGACTACATCCTATGTAATTTCATGTATATAACATTCTGGAAAAGGCAAAATTATAGGGACCTAAAACAGATCAGTGATTGCCAAGGGCTGGTTATGGGGTGAAGGAATGAACTTCTAAGGGGTAGAGGGAATTTGGGAAGTGACAGAACCATTCCATATCTTCATTGTGTGATAGCTACGGGACTCTATGAATTTATCAAAAACATAAAACCACACACCAAAAAGGATGAGTGTTACTGTATGTAAATTATACTTTAAAAAAGTCAACTGATGTTCTGCATATTTCTTTAATGTTCCTGACAACTTATGGAAAAGAAAAATCTTTCCTTCTGCTTGCAGTCCGTGAAGAAAGACCGTCAACATGCTACGTAGTTTCTTGTGGACTTAAAAAAAAAAAAGAAATAAAGACATATTCCCTGCCCTGAGAGTCTGGAAGCTCCCTTGGGAAACAAGTCTAAGATGCTAAGTTACAGAATAAGGCTAGGCAAAACAACTTTGAGTGATAAATCATGGAAAGCACTTTACATGTGCTCTAAGAGAAAGGAAGGAAGAAGTAATTCCCTTTGACTAGAGTTAAAAGAAATGAATGGAACACAATTTAGTAAAATTCTTAGTGTTTCTCAATGCAACCATTATTATCGTGTCTAACTTTCAGATGAGGAGAATGAGACTTGGGAGGACAAATACTTCGTCCGTGTTCCCTCAGCTATTAGGTGTCAGGGCTGAAATTCTAATCCAAGCCCATCCGACCCCAAAACCTGAGATCGCATTGCGATGATGGAACAACACTGAAGAAGTTATCACGGCTGCTACGTGACGGGATTTGAGCAGACAGGAACGTCCCCTAACTTTCCAAACTCCACTACTTCGTATGAATCTTAAGAAACACCACGGCTAGTGCAATGATCTTAAAGTGAGCTCTACGGGGTTTTGGAGTGCAAATTCGTGAGGAAGGTAACATGAAGCCTTGTGAGGATCTCTTCACGGTGCGCAGAGACCTACTTCTGATACGTTGGAGTAAAGTGACGCACGTGGCCAGCGCCCGAGCGGCTGAAAAAGGTAAACACCAAGAGGAAAAAGCCGAGGCGCTCAAGATAACACCGCTTCAATTAGAGAACGCTGGCCTGATCGCAAGGAGAGCACAAGAGGAGGAAAAGCTACTTTCCTGCCCTCCCAAGGCCCTCTGGTAAAAGACCTCCGTGGACTTGTCCCTGTCTGCGTCTCCGAAAGACCAGGACCAGGGCCGGGGCGTCCTCCGCCTGTGGGCTCTCTGCGTGGGGAGGACAACTGTGTATGCTGTGCGGTGCTCTCGCGGGTCGCACCTTACCAAGGCACTGCAACCCAGGGACGGCGGGCACACACTCGACTGGGCCGCGGCGCAAAGCTCAGAGTGAAGGGGTTGGCGAGGTGAACGAACTTGCGCTGTCCCCCTAGATGACATCACAACTGTCGCACACTGTGTTAGTTGACTAGACGCTCTCACTTTCCCCTTATTTACTGACCAAGCAGCCACTGCGCTCGCTGTCATCTCACCTCTCCAGTTCCTGTATTCCGGAACATAGTAGTATTTGTTCCCGAACCGGTCTGTGCCGACTTGCTCCTTCGCTTCCTTTGACAGCGCTCTCCATAAGGCACGGAACAAATCCTGAGACCAACCCATGCAGTCGGTACGGCTTTCAGCGCGAATCTCAGACGGATCCGCCAGGACCCAAACACACGCGCTCTCTAGCCGCGGGCCCCGCCCACCCACTTTAGCCTCACGCCCTTCTAGTAACGGCGCTCACCATTGGTCGGGTGTCATCTGGCTTGACCAATGGGAGACCCCACTGGTACAGCCTCCGCGCTCTGTCATGGCGGCGTCCGGTGTTCAAGCCGGTGTGAAGGGACAGGATGTTAGGGTTTTTGTCAGCGAGACAGACCGGTTTGGAAGACCCTCTTCGCCTCCGGAGAGCGGAGTCCACACGGAGGTAAAGAAAACCTTACTTTTTTCTCAAACAGCCCATTCAAATCTGGACCAATGTCTATGTGAGTCTTGCCTCTCACTTTTCCGCTTCATTATCACTTTACCTCCACCATACTCGCCTTTAATCTCTTCTGCCTTGCGGCCGACGAAAATAAGATACCCTTTACATTCCTGTAGGCAGGTGGGTGCGCACTCGGGTTCTGGCGAAAATTCTTTCTTTTTACCTTACTCCTCCCTCACATTACGTTTCCTCTCCACTCCCCAAGGAATAACTACTCTCCAAAGATTCCTTCATTCAGTCAGTCGACATCCTTAGTGAACTCCCACTTTTACCCAAGCATTATGCTAGGAGCCGAGTGTAGGCCAAGAACTGAACCAAGTTTAGCATGACTAGAGCAGACAAGGGGGGCGGTGACAGGAGATGAAGCTGGAAATGCAGTCCAGAGTTCAGTGAGGAAGAGCCTTGTGTGCTTGGTGAAGAGGTATCAAGAGGATAATAAGGTGACAACTGTTGGATTTTGTCTTCTGCCTGGAGAGTGGATTGAAGTTGAGAGCAAGCAGCAAAAGTCAAGTTAGGTAACTGTTCTAGTTGTCCAGGAGAGAGCAGGTGGAAGCCTGAGCCAGGGAAGTAGCGGCGGTTGGGTCAAAGACAGTGAGGATATATGAAAAATATTTAAGAAATAAAATCAACGAGCTATGGAAATTGTTTGGATATATAATAAATGGTGAAAAGAAAGGCGTCAACAGTGATTCCCAGATAGTTGCTTTGTATAGCAGGGTGAATGATGATGGTATTCATGTAGATAGGACTTTCCAAAGGGGGGAACAAGTTTTATTGTAACTTTGCCCATACTGATTTTTTCCACATTACTTTCTCTTTTTTTTTTTAAATTTGTTTAAGTCTATTTATTTTGAGACAGAGACAGCATGAGTGGTGGAGGGGGAGAGAGAGAGAGAGAGAGAGAGAGAATCCCAAGCAGGCTCCACACTGTCAGCACAGAGCCTGATGTGGGGCTCAAACTCACAAAACCATGAGATCATGACCTGAGCTGAAACCAAGAGTCAGATGCTTAACGGGTTGAGCTACCCAGGCACCCCTCCCATATTACTTTTGAAGAACCTGTGACTTGGAGAGAGGAAGACAAACTTCATGATATATATTTGATGCTCAGAAGAAATTGAGAGATCTTTAATGTGAAATAGTATGTGAAGTGATGTGGGAATGAGATCACCTACGCACTATTTGTAGAGTAAGAAAGGCAGTTCAGTAAGAAACAATCTGAGAAAAATCAACATTTTAAAAAAATTTTTTTAGATGTTTGTTTATTTTTGAGAGAGGGAGAGACAGTGCAGGTAGGGAGGAGCAGAGAGAGAGAGGGAGACATAGACTCTGGAGCAGGCTCCAGGCTCTGAGCTTTCTGCACAGAGCCCAACGCAGGACTCAAACCGACAAACTGTGAGATATGACCTGAGCTGAAGTCAGACGCTTAACTGACTGAGCCACCCAGGTGCCCCAAGAAAATCAGCATTTGCAGTTAGGCTGGGAAGCGTCTGGGTGGCTCAGTCAGTTAAGCGTCCGACTTCAGCTCAGGTCATGATCTTGAGTTTGGGGGTTTGAGCCCCATGTCGAACTCTGTGCTGACAGCTAAGAGCCTGGAACCTGCTTCAGATTGTCTCCCCCTCTCTTTTTGCCCCTCCCCCACTCACACTCTCTCTCAAAAATAAATAAACATTAAAATAAATAAATACAGTTAGGCGGAAGAAGACTTCAAAGAGGAGTTGAAGGAAAACCAGGGTGATGAAGTGTCATGTACACTAAAAGAAGACTGTTTAAAGAGGAAGCCATGAAATGTGTCGTTTGCTGGCCCTAGCGCCCTTCTTTGCTCTCAGTGGTTCCCCATCCCATTATTCTCTCTATTCAATTTATTAATACTGAAATTGTATTATGTATTTATTTGTTTTATTAGTTTATTGTTTTCTTAACCCTTATGAGAAAAAAGACATGAGAAAAGAGGCCTAGAAGAGTTTGTATTAAGCAGATGGTGTTATTCAAGAAATAGGAATTAGGAGGAATTAAAAGTATACATTATATCTAAACAGCAGGGTAGTCACGGATGGCCTTGAGAAGAGTATTTTCAGAAAAATTGTGGGAATAAAAATAAGATTTCAGTGAGTTGGAGAATGACAGAGGAAAGGAAGTGGGAACTGCCAACATTAATGACTTTTTAATTGTCGACTCTCTCTTTAAAGAGAAAAGCAGAGTATAGTTAGTTACTGAAAACTGATACATATGATTTTTTCTAATATCCCAAAAGAAGAACTCACCTGCTATATTAGTTATCAGTGGATGGATAACAAAGTACCCCCAAAACTTAGCAGCTTAAAACAACAAAAGATTTACGGTAAAGCCCTGGTTTGTGAGCTTAATTCGTTCCGGAAACATGCTTGTAACCCAAATCACTTGCATATCAAAGTGAATTTCCCCATAGGAAATAATGGAAACTCAGATAATTTGTTCCACAACCCAAAAATATTCATATAAAAATGATAACGATATTGTATTATAATACGAAATAATAAAGAATACAAAATATAAAGAAAAATAAACAAATGAACCTGCACTTTGAAAACCTTTGTGGCTGGTGTGAGGGAGACGAGAGAGGAGGGTTATAGTGTAGGATGACTCTCACTATCACTAATGGAATTACTGCTGTCTATTGGCTCAATGTAATCGTTTTCTGCATGGGAACCATTGTATATGCTCACGTGGATGTTGACTACAGTACAGTATTAATAAACTTCTATCATATACTGTATTTAATGAAACTGGCAGTAAGGCAGTAGAGGAAAGGGTCTATATCTACAGGCAGCCAGATCTAGAAGGAAGTAAAGCATTCCTAGGCTTACTTACTCTTGTATGGAAAAGCAAAGGACTATCCTGTCCTACCACAATTACAAACAGACAAAAATAATAAACTATTGTAATGCATGATAATAATCTTTTGCCTGTTTTCACGAAGCAATTTATGTGTTTTGTATTCTAAAATGTTGCATCAGCTTTATATTTAGTATTATGCTTTTAGAATGGGAAAATATGTTTCAAATACTGCATGTAATCTTAACTAAATAAGTAAACATTAAATCTTTTTTAAGCAAGCTGATCTTTGATCAGTTTTAAACATGATTGATATTGCATCCACTGTTGTCCCCTTGTCCCCAACCCCAGTCAGTGCAGGGTAGGCAGCAATTCCTACTCAGCTCATTGATCCATTCTAATAAAAGCATATAGACATATCCAGAGTTTTTTATTTCAATAATTCCAAGAACCCAAGTTTTATTTCAGTGACTGTAAAAACTCAAAATTTACTTTTATCAAAATTTGTCAGTCTTCTCTGATAATTTAGCTTGTTTCCACCAAGTAGTTCTGCAATTCTTCCATTATGATCAGTAAAGTAAACATTGGAAAGTGAATGAACTTGCCTGTTGGACCTTTAATTTTTGTGAAAATAACTGTACTTTTTAAAAAAGAATCAGCATTATATTTTAATCTAGTAAGTTCAGAAGTCTTATTATATCAGTAAAAATATTTAAATCATGTCAGCTACTGAGAGTCTTAAAACAGTGTTTTTTTTCAGTCTTTTAATTTTAAATAGTCCTTGATCTGAAGAAGCAATTAAGTAAAGCTCTTTGTTAAAATTCCGTGACCTAATTATTCTGATTATGCCATTTTATTTTATTAAGATTTATTTTTTGAAGTTTATTTATTTTTAGAGAGAGAGTGTGCACACACACAAGCAGGGGAGAGGCAGAGAGAGAATCCCAAGCAGGCTCCATGCTGTCAGCACAGAGCCCAGTGCAGGGCTCAAACCTACCAACAGCGAGATAATGACCTGAGCCAAAATCAAGAGCTTAACTGAGCCACCCAGGCGACCCAAGATTTATTTTCTTTTTAGAGAGAGAGAGAGAGAGAGAGAGCGAGCACTACCATGAACAGGGAAGAGGGGCAGAGGTAGAATCAGAAGCAGACTTCACTCTCAGTGTGGAGCTTGGTGTGGAACTCAATCCCACAACTCTGGGATGGTGACCTGAGGGAATCAAGAGTCGGGTACTCAACCAGCTGACTGAGCCACTCAGGTGCCCCTGCTTATGCCATTTTAATATGAGCTAATGAAATACAAATGCAGAAAGAGTTGCTATTCTTACAAAAACTACATAGACCACTTTTGAAATAATTCAAACAAATGTCTTAACATAAAATGCTGTTCAATAAGGTATATTGATTGAGAAAATGTTATAAAAGACTTGGGGAAAATACAAAACGATGGAACAGTTTTTCTCAACTTTGCCATAACACAGGAATCACCTAGGGTCTTTGGAAAAAGTATTTGTGCCAAAGTTCCAACCCTAAAGATTCTGATTTAATTGGTCCAGGCCACTGGGATTTCTTGAAAGCTCCCTAAGTGATTGTTAGGTTTAGCCAGGATTGACAACTATTGCTGGAGAAAGATTCCACATTCATTTGCTTTGCATATGTCCAAGATTCCATATTCATTTGCTTTGCATATGCCTTAAATGTTTACTCAACTAAAACAAACAGGGTAATAAAAACATCTTTTGCGTATTTACCCAAACGGATACAAAAATACTGATTCGAAGGGGCATATGCACCCCAATGTTTATAGCAGCATTATCAACAATAGCCAAGCTATATAGAAAGAGCCCAAATGTCCATTGACTGATGAATGGATAAAGAAGATGTGATATATATAATGGAATATTAGCCATAAAAAGAAT